TTGTTGTTGTTGTTGTTGTTGTTGTTGTTGTTGTTGTTGTTGTTGTTGATAATAGCTATAATAAAACAGCTGTTAATGTTATTGTAATAAAAACATCCTGGAAGGATGTAAAAATAAATAAGAGCCTCTGTTTTTATGAAAAGTTTAAAAAGTGTTTGTAACTTGTGTCAGATGAAGTTTGAGTGAAGCCACTGACTCGAGGATGTTTGAGTTTTAATAAAACGTTTCTGTGGAGTTTCTTCAGTCTGTGTTTTGTTCCAGGTGAGAGGTTAAACTCTGATTTATTAACCAACCACCTCTTTAACGTTCCTCGTGTCCACAGGTTCTGCAAGCCTTTGTGGATTCTCAGTTTTTATTTCTACGTGTTCTCTGCATGTCAAAGTCTAAACACTTACCTGTGACAGGTGTGAGCTCACTGGGTTTGAGGGTGTGTGTGCTTGTGTTTTCTGTCAGAGGGCTGATGGTGACGACAGGCTGGGCCTGCCAGCTGACGCAGAGGAGGAATGTGATGTTGACTCCAAAATAGACACTCCAGATGTTCCTCTCTCCACAGCTGACATGGACAACACTCCAGAATGTCTGACCAAAGCTCTGGAGGGGCTGCCGCCCAGGTACCATATCCATCCATCCGTCCGTCTGTCTGTCCATCCATCCCATCCATCCTTCCTACCTACCCCTCTCTCCTCTTCTTCCTCTTGCTCTCTCTCTCACTAACTCACTTACTTTTCCACTTATTCCTAAGTCGGGTCCTGGGTCTTCCCCGGGGTCTCCTCCCAGTCGAACATGCCTGAAGCACCTCCCTATGGAGGCGCCCAGGGAGCATCCTTACTAGATGTCTGAACCACCTCAACTGGCTCCTCTCGATGTGGAGGAGCAGCGGTTCTACTCCGAGTTTCTCCTGGAGAACTGAACTTCTCATCTTCTCTAAGGGAGAGTCCAGCTACCCTGCAGAGGAAACTCATTTCATCCTCCTGGATCCACAATCTCATTCTTTCTGTCTCTACCCAGAGTTCATGACCAGAGGCGAGGGGAGGAACGTGGACCAGTAAACGGAGAACTTTGCCTTACAGCTCAGATTCTTCTTCACCATAACGGACCGGCACAGAGTCTGCAATACTGCAGATGTTGTACCAATCCATCTGTCAGTCTCACGCTCCATTCTTCCCTCACTCATGAACAAAACCCAGAGATGCTTGAACTCCTCCACTTGAGGCAGAACCTCACCCTCGACCTGAAGAGAACAATCCACCCTCTGACTGAGGACCACGGCCTCAGATTTCAACCACAGTGAATGAATAAATGCTGTTGATTAAAGTTCTGGAAGAGAAATCGGAACCAAAATCTGACTGGGATACGTCTACCTGGAATCAGAATTGTCGTCGTTGCTAAATAGGGGTGTAACGAGATCTCGTGGCACAAAATTTAAAATGTTACAACTTTGCAATCGGCGTGATTTCTCTGACTTTAGCTCTGAGGTGTCTCCACCACTTTAAATTGTTTGTGTCGCAGCAGTTCAGGCGTTCACTCCCCGCTTTGTTGTGCTTTTGATGTCAGAGTGAACGCTGAGGTCGCACAGACATTTGTCCACTTTGAAGCAGGGAAAATACTTTTTAAACCTCTCGTTCATCAGTTTGAGTTTAGAGGAAAAGAGTCGATCAAACGTCAAGATGAGGTGGAATTCCTGACGAGTCCCACCCCCACGGCACCTTTCATCCAAGCTGCTTAATCATCTGTGCTCATCAGCGTGGGACAGTTTTCTGCATTAAACAAAATGTGCAGAGGAGTTTCGCTCTAATGTCCTCTTCAGTCACTAACTCGGACACTCAAACTCTCATCAGAGCCACAGCGTCTGAATATAAATCCACGTTTTCCTTGTTTTCTACTGTAACTTTAAGATGTTCTGTTATCATTTGTAGGTTTGGCTTTTATTTCAAGTCTTTCTGCAATTTGGGCTCAAACGTGCTGCCTCAGGAATACAAGATGACTTCTCCTAAATCAGGCTCTGAATCTCTCGTGAGGAGGAGTCCCACAGCAAGGATCTCGCCTCTTATCGAGTTTTGTCTCGTTTTGCTTAACATTTTGCCCACAACAGACATTATCCTTCTACGATGGGACCAGACGCTAATATAAACCAGAGGATTAGATCAGATTTTACTCACTACAGCTGTTGTTACTGTGTGAGGTGATTGCAGGGTGCAGTGATGGAGCGAAGACAGCAGCTCTGAATGGAAGCTGCAGCAGCTTTTTCATGATGCGGCTCTTTTTCCATTCATGCAGCCACCAGCAGGCTGGTGGTCTGCGCAGCTCCTCGTTTGTTCTCAGTTCTCATGAGCCTCGGAGCAATTATTAATCATTTATCTGCTTGTTTTACTTCTCTAGATTTATGCATTTCATGCTTTGTCCTGTGCAGTTTTTTAGTGCTTTATAAACGGAGTGGGATAGTAACGTCTCTTATTGTCCAGCGTGAGCCTCAGTTTCCTGTTTGCAGCTGACAGGAAGTCTTCTGCTGCTGAAGACCACCTGCTTCAAGGTGGTTGTGTGTTCAGAGAAGGTATTCTGCAGAATTTGGTTGAAATAAACGGTTATTAATTTGATCTACTGGTACTTTGTCTTCTTATCACTCTCCTCTGACATCACCAAGACATTTGTTTCCACGCAGCTGCTGCTCTCTGGATATTTTCATCGTCTGAACCGTAGTGACTGTTGCAGGTGAAAAACAAAGATCATCAGTTTGTGAAATATTCAGACGATCAGTGCCGCGCTCAAAGTAACTCGCCCTTTTATTCCCATTCTGACGCTCCGTTTAAACTTCAGCAAGTTTTCAACATCTGCCTGAACGCATCGAGTACTGCCACGTGATTGGTTAATTAGCCGCCATTAAACCTAACAAAGAGGCTGTTGAGTGAATACTGTAGCTTTTTCTTTACCAGCATGAGTTCTGCAGCTGTTTTCTATTAACAGATAAATGATAATGGACGGATGTAAACTTATGAAGGTCTGTTGGCATCAAACCTATATTTTTTTTTATCTCATTTGATTAAAAATGAGCACATCAATGCTGTGAATTCATGTCTCTGGGGTGTAATTTCATGCTCCTCTGTTTTATTCCTTTAAATACAGAAATAAAGCCTGAATTAAAACCATATTGGTTCCATAAACCTTTTCATTTGCATATTTAATGCGTTTTATTCTCCACAGGTGGAAGAATTACTGGATCCGAGGAGTTTTGTCCATAGCCATGATTTTGGGCTTTTTCCTCATCATCTATATGGGACCCATCTCTCTCATCTTTTTGGTGAGTGACTGATCCAGAGTCCTAATGGGACATATTGCTGGTAGATCTACTGCTACAGAGGACAGATTTAAAGAGTGTTAGTGAGAATGGAAAATTGACCCAGTTTTCTCCATCACCTGATGCAGGTCATGTTTGTGCAAATCACCTGTTTCCATGAAATCATCACCATCGGCTACAGAGTTTATCATTCCTACGAGCTGCCTTGGTTCAGGACGCTGAGCTGGTAAGGAAATCATTTTTTCACTTGTTTGTAGAAACTCGTGAAGCTACGTCTGACGTTTCATATCAATCTGTGCATTCAGCTCTACGTGAACATACAGAGAATAAAACGGCATTGCTGCACAAACAGTAAATTACAGTCAACTATGAGAGGCTTGGATGTCAAAAGGGGATTTAGAAAATCTACAAAAAATATCAATCTGGAAACATCTGGATTTTCAGAATGAAAAATGTGTTTGAACCCTGCGTTAACAAACTGCTCAGCTGTAAATAAAACATTAGACTTTATGAGACTCGGCTCAACACAGAATGTGCATCAGTTTCATCTCCTGCGTCTTAAACTCTGTTATGAAGTTTTTTTGTTGTTCCGTACGTAACGCCCGCCTGCTTCTGCTGAGGCTCCTGGTTGCTGCTCACGCTTTGCATACACGGCCTGCGCCTGCAGCTCGGAGCAAAGATCACTGCTGTGCTGGAAGCGAATGAACGCGTTCACCAGGGCCACCCCTCTCACACACGCCGAGCTCTTAACAGCAGGTCAATGTACAGTAAACACAAGGAGCAACAAAACTCAGTGACCCGCAGAGCCAAGAACAGGACCCACCTGAACTGTTCTTTACCAACAAAACCAGTAAAGAAAGTAAATAATCCCTTCTTTCTGTGCCTCAGGTACTTCCTGGTCTGTGTCAACTACTTCTTCTATGGTGAAACACTGGCGGATTACTTTGGGGCTTTGGTGCAGAGGGAGGAACCTCTGCAGTTCCTGGCTCGCTATCACCGCTTCATTTCTTTCGCTTTGTACCTGGCAGGTGAGGCCGTCCTTGAAGACAAAGTGACTTTTGTGTCTGAACAGAACACGCCTGCTGCTCCTTCCACGTTAACTGGGCTCGTTTAGATTTCACCAAGAGACACTGTTCATGTTGTAGAGTTTTACATTCAGCCTTTATTTTGCAGACACAGCACATTTTAAACTTTGAACTCTTCAGTCTGTTGAAGGTACTCGTTGCAAAGCATGAAATCAAAAAACGGTTATCCTGAGCTACATCAAATGGTGCAGCTTGAAAGAGTTTACTGTATTTTTCGTTGTGTAAGTCGCAGGTTTTTTTTTTGCATAATTTGCATGCCCTGTTATACGCCAAAGTGACGTATTTGTTTTTCTTTTTCCCATATTTATAAACCAAGTTTTGGCTGAGGTGACCGTTTTCATTCATTCTGACATTTAAAATATCGAACACTACCATTTTCAGCCGCTAGATGGCACTCTAGTATGGCATGCTGTTGTGTCATGTAATGGGTAAAAGTGGCTATTAATGACACAATCAGCTTGCCGTAGATGCCCACCTTTGTCCAGCTCACCTGGAGCAACCGTCAAATCCGCTTCATTCGCTGCGCCACCCCGGTGAAATGCAGCTAATTTGACCATTAAAGTCCTTTTATTAAGTAAAAGTTAAACTGAGACACACCTTTAATATAAATCAAGTAAACAAATAATTGTTTTTAGGTGCTTATCTTGTTAAATTTCAAAGAAATGCACAGTGAGTCATCCCATGCACGCTCCCACGGCTGCAAATTGGCTTTTGAAATGCAGCTGATTTGATTGTCAAAGTGCATTTTTTAAGTAAAAGTTCAACTGAGACACACCTTTGCTATAATTTCAAGCAAACAAATAATTGTTTTTAAGTGTTAATCCTGTTAAATTCTTGTTAAAGTCCTCCCGTGCACGCTCCCTCAGCCGCCATTTGGCAGCCAATCGATTTTTGGCACACCGGCCCACATTTCCATGTTGTCAGCGGTGACGCGTAATAGATACGACTTCTACGCAGAAGTGACGTATTTATGAATTTTTCCACTTTATTAGACATATTTGGACTGATGCGACTTGTGGAGCGATGCGGCGTGTACGGCGGAAAATACGATGCAGTTTTTCAGATCGATACAAATCAGAAATGTGGGTCCACACTTAATGTAAACAAAGCACTCAGCCGAACCAAAGCCACGTGGCCGCTTGAGTCGTGATCTACATTTTGCTGGATGAAGTTTGTGCAGGTAAATAAATATAAACGTTAATTTGGACTTTCAGTCACTTTGGCTTTTTCATATTTAAATGAACACATTACCCATTGACATGAGGAAAAATATTGTTCAGTTTTATTAACGTTTCGTCTATTCTTCATGACTTTGCAATGAGTGCTTTTAATTTATTGCAAGTTAAAGAGTAAAATAACAATATAATAAGTGTCTTTGCTTTTTACTTCTGTCAGTTTGTGCTGAAATCTTTTTCCAGTTTGACCTTAAAGATTAAAACTAGATAATTAATCGGCTGCTGTGGCTCGTTTAGAGGACACTTTCTGATTCACGTAAACAAATGTGACTCTGAATCTTGTCAAGCATTGTACGTGCACACGTCTCGGTTATAATCAGGGTCAACGCGGACCTACTGAGGGTTAAAATGACCCAGGATGTTGGTTCAAATCGATGAGCATGGGTCATTGAATTAGTTCTAGTTCATTCATAGTGTTTAATCTTCCATTTAAAAAGGAACTGACAGCATGTTGTTTACTCCTCCACAGGTTTCTGCATGTTTGTGCTGAGTTTAGTGAAGAAACATTACCGCCTGCAGTTTTACATGGTGTGTATCCGCAAAGTAACCTCTCCCCCGCTACATGACACTAATGCTAACGTCCATCGCTGCTTCCTCCCGTCATGATGCCTGAAAAGATTAAAAAATCTATTATACGGTAGATGTTTTTAACTCTGCTGATGTTTGTCCTTTTACAATATACATACATCTGAAATAAGTTTTCATTTGTGGACATGATGCGAACGGTAAGATGGCTCCGCCCACATAGAAATAGTTTCTGCAGTGGATGTTTTCATGCTGCAGAGTGACACAGAGCAAGAACTCGGTGAAACGCAGTATGGAAGAGTAAATTTGACATTACTCAACCTATTAAATTATTTATGTAAAATCAGTTTACAGTAGTTTTAACAAAGACTAAACTTATGCAACCAGAAGTTACCAACATATATCTACCTACAAAACGCAGCTAGCTTGAATTTAGCCATTAAGCATAATTATGACAGAAAATGGAGGATTTACCTTCGTACAGATGAACATGTGGTACAGTAGTCCCTCGTTTATCGCGGGGGATCCGCACCCTGAAGCCCCGCGATAAATGAAAAACTGCGAAGTAGGAATAGTAAGGCTCTGCCAGCGCTCTTGGCCACGCCCACTTCTCCGCTGCAGAGCAGAGATCAGCTGATCAGCTGCAGCAGGAATCGTCTCCTGCTGTGGGCTGCACACAGGTGCTAAATATTTTTAAATTATTTATTTTTTTAAAATTCCATGCCGACCGTTCGGCTCATCCATCAATCAGCCAATTGTGTATCATGTCCAGTCTTATTTTGAAAAAAACGCGAAAGGGCGAGTCCGCGAAAAACGAACCGTGAAGTAGCGAGGGACTACTTCCTGTTTATAACTGCTGTATTCAGCTGCTCATGAGGTCGGCCACCGGCCTTTATCCGTCTTAAATTTTTCCAGACTCTGTTTAGGTTTTGGAAATGGAATAAACTGTATTCCACCCTCTGAACGCTCAGGGTAACGTGTCTGTATGCATCCTACGGACAACGTTTAACCATTTTTCCCGATGATTTTTCACAAAAACCTTCTGACCGCAATGCGTTAATGTGAAACCCCGACAATATTGTCAGAAGAAAAGCGGGTGCAGCTCCTGCAGGTAAGGGGCTTCACTTCGAGAGAAGCTGCGATCGCCAATTGGTCAGTTGCTGAAGAGCCTACTGGATTGATTGACAGGTGGCATCATGTCAACTGTAACTCTATCCCAGTGGTTCCCAACCCTGGTCCCTGAGGAACACCATCCTGCATGTTTTAGTTGTCCCTCTGCTCCAACACACCTGATTTGAATGAAGGAGTGATTAACAGACTTCTGATGAACTTAAGTAACTAAACATCAGGTGAACCATGCAGGATGGTGTTCCTCAGGGACCAGGGTTGGGAACCACTGCAGTCGTGAAGATCTCTGCTCAGGGTTTGGTGGCTTCATTGTGCAGCAATATTACAGTTTAATGTTTGTCTTTAATGTGCATGCATCTTCCCAGAATTCCTGTCTGAATGTTACACTCGATCCAATACGTTTGGAAAATTCTCCCTCGTGCACTTCCTGCCTGCTGCTCTCATTTTGTTTTGTCGACGGCGTCGCTCTGCAGCACGACTCTTTATCAGCTTCGCCCACCTCATCTGTCGGTCTCTGTTTGACTCCTGTGTTTCGAGCTCACTTCTGAACAGGCACAGCTACATTCCAGTGCAGTGAAACTGTGGTGTTTGTGTTTGCCATTCCAGTTTGCTTGGACCCATGTGACCCTGTTGATTGTGGTAACTCAGTCCCACCTTGTCATTCAGAACCTGTTTGAAGGAATGATCTGGTAAGCAGGACTCGGGCAGGCTGCAGGAATCTGCCTCGTTGTGTCCGACTGTTTGTCATCACGAGCTACGTCACTCTTTGTGGAGCTTTTTATTGTTAAAGCAGCAAACATGCCCTGAGGCAACCGTTAAATACACAATAATACATACTGCTCTGAAGAGGGAGTTATCTTTGTACTAATTACTTTTGTTTTTATAAACTCAGTTCTGAAAATGTTTAAAATGTAAGATAGAAACAGAACGCAGTGATTTGCAACACAGTAAACATCAAATGTTGAAACTAATAGCTTTTTTAAAGCCTTTTCAGAATTCGTGTTGTGTTTTTTGCTGACACGGCACAAAACTCATGTCGGCTAACAATCCTGCTCTCCAGGTTTATTGTTCCCATCTCCATCGTGATCTGCAACGACATTGGGGCCTATCTGTTTGGATTCTTCTTTGGCAGAACGCCACTTATCAAGGTAATTCAAACGTTTGTCTCACGTTATGAACTTTATTTCATGATCCTTTTGTTTCAAGTGAATTGTGGCTGTTGTGAAGTTAGTCGGCGTAAGTAAACGTTCATCGTCGTGTGGGCAGGGAGGCTCCGATCAGCTGTTCAACCGCTCATTTAGGAAGAGCGGTGTGGTTTTAGTCCAGGTCGTGCATCAGTGAGCCAGGTCTGAGCGAGTATGGGGGGGTTGACGTTCCTGCTGACGTGTGGAGAAGTCTGATTGTGCAGCCGGAGGCATAATGTGAGGAACCTGCTGTTGATGTCACCTTTAGAGCCGTCTGGTCCTTTTGTAGCCAAAACAAGAGCAGTGTCTTCGTCCCAGACGCTCATTCTCGGTGCACGTTGGACACCACCAGGGCTGCCATCAAGCTCCGATCCTGTTCGTGGTGTTCAGGGACTTCAGAGGATCTTCTCTGCGTTCTGGTTGTGTTCTGCTGGTGTACTTTTGGGCAGTTCTCAGCCCAGTGAAGCAGCTGGGATCAGAGTCAGTTCCTGGGTTCTGACCTGGAAAAAGGTGGAATGCTCACTCCAGGTCAGGGGGAGGCTTCTCCCGAAGCCGAGGAGTTTAGGTATCGAGAGCCTCTTTCATGAGTGGCGTTAGGATGGATCGACGGGTTGGAGCCTCGTCTGCAGTAATCAGGGCGTTGCTTCAGTCTGTTGTGGTGAGGAAGGAGCTGAACGAAGGTCAAACTGTTCCAGCACTCCCCTCTGGCCACAAAGTATGTTTAGTGACTGACGCTGTGCAGGAGCAGCTGAAAGAAGCTTCGTCTGTAGAGGCAGGTCAGGCCCAGACTTCGAGCTAAGGTGAGAAGCTCCATCATCAGAGTAGAGCTGCACTTCTCACCGAGAGGACAACCTGAAGAAAACCCAGAACTTGCAGGGATTTTACAAATATTCCAACAAAAATAGATGAGAATGCAGCAAAGTTGAGCCCTGGGAAGATATCTGTTTTTTAAACAACATCTTAGTGAAAGTTTTTAGTTTAGTTGATATAATGTATTGCTCATCCCTCCGTCAGAGAACAGCCTGATGGTGTGAACGGACTTCTCTTCTTTCTGCCCCTGCAGCTCTCACCCAAGAAGACATGGGAGGGCTTCATCGGGGGGTTCTTCTTCACGGTGGCGTTTGGCTTCCTTGTGAGTAATTCGTTTTCACGAACCGCATCACATGTTCTGCATTTCTTTCTCCTCGGCTTCAGTTTGTCCCGGGCTGGAACAGGTTTTAATTCTGTTCAGTTCAGAGCAAAATGAGAATAACAAAATGTTTCTGCTTGTTTTCACCGCCGTGTTTGTTTAGAAGGGAAGCACGAGTTGTTGTTATTCCTTTAACAGTTTTCATACAGCAACACGTGGTTTTTAAACGTACCGTACATTTCGCCGTATAAGTCGCAGCTTTTTGCATAAATTAGCATGCCTGCGACTTATACACCAAAGTGACTTGTTTATGATTTTTTTTTCCGTATTTATAAAACAATTTTTGGCTGAGATTTAACAATTTCATTCCTTCAGACATGGAAAATATTGAACACTACCATTTTCAGCCACTAGACGGCCCTCAACTAATATGGCAAGCCAAGTGTCTCATTAAAAGTGGCTATTAATGAGACACTTGGCTTGCCATACGAAGCCGCCTTCGTCTCGCTCCAGAACTCATAGATCAAACGTCAAATCAGCTTCATTTCACTGCGCTGCCCAGGTGAAATGCAGCTGATTTGACCGTTAAAGTGCGTTTATTAAGGAAAAGTTCAACCGAGACACACCTTTACTATAATGTCGAGCAAACAAATAATTGTTTTTAAGTGTTAATATTGTTAAATTCTTGTTAAAATCCTCCTGTGCACTTCTGCGGCAGCCATTTGGCAGCCAATCGATTTTTGGCACAACACCGGCCCACGTTTTCAGGTTATCAGCGGTGACGCATAATAGATGCAACTTATACGGCAGTGCAACGTGTACGGCAGACAGTACGGTTATATTATGCAGTACCCGTATATACATACAACAATGAACTTTCTCTGTCCAGCCCATAACTTCTGATCTGCTCAAGATAAGTTAATGAAACGTTGAACTTTGTGCTCATGCATCATCTCTAGTCACGCCTTTAAGAAACAGTCCAGCAAAGACCTGCGATCGATCGAGTGTATGTCTGGTTTTCAGCCAACAGAGCTTTAAAAATCTAATTATTCATCTGTCGAATTGAGTTATCTTTAGTATTTTTCATTGGTCCCACTAAAATCTAAATAAAATAGATAAATAATATCGTCTGCTGCCCTCCACGCCAGCTTTAGATAAAGATCGTGGGTTGTGAAGGGACAGTTGGTCGAACCTTGAAATAACGTTTTGTGCACGTGTTCATGCTCAGAGTGTTGCGAATGAGCTTCAGCCGCAGTTAGAGCAAACGTTGTCTAAATATCTGCGACAACGCATTAGCTAATGTCAGCTTCGGTGTCCATTTTGAACTGGGTTGACTCTAAAGCTGAACTGGTTTTAGGTGAACATTCAGTGAATATTCCCTGAACGTTTCATTCAAATCCATCCAGTGGTTTATGGGATGTTTTGCTAACAGACAAACATGTTGACTTCATCTGTTAATGCTAAAGTTTAAGCAAAAAATCTGTTGGTGCTCAGAATGTGTGTCGGGATCACTCTCAGCTACTACAACACCAAAGTTGAGGATAATTTCTGCAAAATGGACTTAACTGTTGCCATTTTTCTGCTTTTTAAGGTCAGTCGGCGTCGGCGGTCATTCTGAATTAGACTGCTTCAAACGTTTATCAGTTAAAAAGTTAAATAAAGTCATCAGCTGCTTGGAGTCCTGATTTAATCAAGATTTCTTCCTCTCCCCTCAGCTGGCCCACTTCATGTCCCAGTTCCAGTACTTCGTGTGTCCGGTGGAGTTCAACAGCGACACCAACCGGTTCACGGTGGAGTGTGAGCCCTCGGACCTGTTCGTGATGCACGAGTACATGCTTCCTGCGGGGCTGCAGAACATCTCCAGCTGGGTTCGCTTTTACTCTGGTCGCTGCGTTGATACAAGACGTTTCCACATCGTGGAGGCAGCAGCTGTGAAGTGTGTTGCAGCGGTGACGCCCTCTTCCTTTTTGTTTTTCAGAAAACTGTGACCCTGTACCCCTTCACCGTCCACAGCGTGTTCCTGTCGTCCTTTGCGTCTCTCATCGGGCCGTTCGGTGGCTTCTTTGCCAGCGGCTTCAAGCGAGCGTTCAAAATCAAAGTAAAGCTTCAGATTTGATCTTTTCTCCAGGCAAACCGTTTGAGACTGTGTTGCTCGTTTTAGACCTTTGTGTCTCATCTTTTCTCTGCTCATGAAAAGGATTTCTCAAACAACAGCGCCATCTAGTGGCTCCATCTGTCCATGGCAACTTTAAAAATTTACAGAGAAAAATTGCATTAAAAGTTTTTCTTTAAATAATTTTGTTACATATCATTGAAAGTTTACATATTTTAGGGAATATTTAGGCTGAATCTTGTTTTTATCATATATTAAAGTTCAGATCTGAGCCTGGTTTCTCCACCCATTCAGGACTTTGCCAGCACCATCCCGGGACACGGCGGCATCATGGACCGCTTCGACTGTCAGTATCTGATGGCCACGTTCACTCACGTCTACATCGGCAGCTTCGTCAGGTGAGAAGAGTAAACGAGGGTGGGTCCAGGCGGTAAATCAATCAGCTCGTGGAAATATTTGCTGTGAGATAAATAATAAGAGACGAGTACAAAACTGTGGAGTCATTTTGTTCTTTCGGTCGTGACCACAGGTGAGTGTAGGAACGTAAACGCAGAGCTTCTCCTTGCAGCTCAGCTCCACCTTCACTACAATGGACTGGCACAGAGAACACAATACTGCAGAAGCTACACTGATCTATCTGAAACCCTGATACTCACGGAGCCCCCCCATGGAAAACAGTCAAATGGGTCCATAAAACACATGTAGACTAGTTGGGTCAACTCCCGTAGTCCTGCAAGGACCACAGTGAGGGTAAAGAGCTGGTTCAGTCTTCCACGGCTGCGATGGAACCCACGTTGTAACTCCTCACTGGACTTCTCCTGCACCCCTGAATAGACTCGACTGGGGAGGCAGATGGAGTGATGCTCCTGTAGTTGGAACACACCCCATGGTCCCCCAGAGGAACTGCCAGTCCAGTGGCACCCCCCACCCTGCAATGTCCCTCAAACATTTAAATTTTTTTATTGCACAATGTTTGGTATCAAAGCCTGTGCTGAGGATGAGCCTTAGCCACCACCACACCGGACTTTAAGACGATCTAATGAAGATTTTAATGATTAATTAAGATTAATTAAAGCTTTAAAATTCAACAAGTTAATAAATTGAAGATTTACTATAATGAATATTTAATACTTGCACATACAGTAGCTGCTGTAACTCTCTAATTTCCCTCAGCGATCAGTGACGTCTGTGTTCTTGAACGCAGCAGTGGCTGTAAAATCCACTGGATTGAGACAGTTTGTGTTTTTTTATGATCGTTGGACCGTGGTGGCCATCGGGGTTGTTTTCTGAAACTTTCAATAAAATTCATCCAGGGTTCGATGAGATTTTTTACTAACAGTACAGACGGACATTGGGTGACGTGCGTTCCTCATCATTATGGTGACGTCTTAACTTTTCTCCGCAGAGGCCCGAACCCCGGCAAGGTGCTGCAGCAGCTGCTGATGCTTCAGCCCGAGCAGCAACTCAGCATCTTCCACACCCTGTACTCCCAGCTGAGAGAGAGGGGGCTGCTGCCCCCCGCCGCCCAGGCCGAGTGACCGCGCGCCTGCCTCGCAGCGTCAGGACCCGAGGAGTGTGTGAGGTGCTTCTGGCAGTGGGGCTAAGCACGTGCGCACACATCCACGTACATATGCACATTAGGTTTCACGTTGTGTAATTTAAGACAGAGCATCATCATCATCATCCTGTTGGCTTCCAGCTCTAAATCACAGCTTTGAACCTGAAGCGACAACAAGCAACAAAAAATAAAAACTGCTCTGTCAGCAGGAAGCCGCCATCCCTAAACCCTTTCAGAGTAAAAGATTCAAAGCTGAAGTGACTTTAAGGCACACGGCAGACTGACGATGTGAACCGCTAACTTTGCACTGACTTTTAAACTTTGAAAGAAGAAAGATGAAATGAAGTGAGAACTGGGCCAACCAATGCACTGCTGCCTCACGAGTGAAGCCACGACGCAGCGCGGCTGTCGGACTTCCTGTACAAACTGACGTCACAGCATCACAACATGCAGCATGCACGCTGGTTCTGCCTTAGGCTTCTGCTAAATGAAACCATTTATTCTGTTTCCTCAGAGGTGAAGTACTTCCGTGTTTTACATTCATTCTGACTCGACGACTTGCACAATACTGGTCCGAACAGATCGACTTTAGGCATGCTAACGTAGAGCATCATCGGCACACTCAAAACTTGAAGTAATGTACAGAAATATACTGAAATATTTAGCTGAGCAAAAACAGAATATATATATATCTAATATAAAGACTTTCTGTGGGATTAAAAAACAACTTAAGCTGTGATAAATTATATGCAACAAGAGATAAATTTAAAGATTATTTGTAGCTTTTAGCATGAACAAACCACCTTTTAACAGCTGTAGACTTGACCCAAAGTTATTCAGAGGGTGTAAACCTTGTTAAAAATGGTGAAAAGATTATAAGATGATAAGTTTCTATCTTGGAGACACGATCATGTCTGAGTTCAGAGCTGATTAGCGTAGCTTACCTGAAACAGGAAGCACAAAGTAAACGCCTGAACTCTTCTCCGCGGCTCCTGTAAAGCTCACACAGCTGAAACGGAAACGGCTTCTCACCGGGAGTTGGACCGAGTTGGAACCGAGACGTTTTGTTGGTCTGTCTCATCGTGAGGAGCTCGTCAGCTTCTTCCATCTTCCACAGTCAAACTGCTGTAGGGCACGACCTCACAGCCGCTTCGTGTTTATGTTCTGTGCAACAACGTCATGCACAAGTTCATCGCTGCCTCCACGCTCATCCAACACCGAGTGGAGAGCTGCAGCAAGACTCAGAAATCTGAACAGATCTCTTTATCTTAAAATGAGCGCAGGCTGCAGTGCAGAATAAGAGAAAATGTTTTAAATTTGTGTAAAAATAACTCCATAAAGACGCCATCTAGTGGTCCCAGGAGCGAAAACGGCAAACAATCGTCCAAATCTACCTTTGGATCAACGTGTTCCAACAATCGTGTCAGAAGAAATCATCACTCTTCGTTTTCTTTTAAATTTACCCTTTTTCTCCGTTGGGAAATCCTGTCGTATAATGTTGAAGCTTTTCAAACTTGGCTCCAGACCAAACGTCGTGAACAGATCCAGCTCAAGCTGCTGTTTCGTTCCGAAGCTTCTGAGACGGAGAGTTTGGAATGTGACTTTTGAACGTCTCCTCACCGTGACTCGTTTTTGCAGCTCGGCTCACGTGCACGCCGGCCATGACTCAACGGACGTGTCTAACTTCTGAAATGATTTTACGTGTGAGCTTTACAGGGAAGCCTTCCTGCTGACAGGAGAGCAGCGTTGATCCTCTGGTCTCTCATGAACTGTAGAAAAGGCTCTCCGTCTTAGTTTTAGTTGCACTGTAGGGTGGAGGGGGGGGGGGGGGGGGTTTATTGGGGGGGGGCGGGGCTTTTACAGATTAAATCAATACTTGATGAACAAGTTCTGAATGTAGTTTGCAGACGTTCCGACGCAGCGTTTGTTGGGAGATTCTCGGACTGCATCCAGGTCTCTCTGGAGAGAAACGTTTACCAAAGCTCCGGGTGTGGGGGGGGGGGCGTCCCTCCCGTCCCTCCCTCCCTCAAATCTGCTGCTTCTTTTAAAACATAAACTCAAAGCAGGGACTTGGAGTGCTTCCACGGAGATCATAAGTTCAGAAATGTTCTAATTTATTTGTAAATTTTGTTCTCTTTGTTTTTTTTTCTTCATAGACGTGATTTTTAGGGTGTGATGGGTAGATTTTTGTGTTTGTTCGTACACATACACACACACACACACACACACTGCTGCCCGGGTTTATCTGCGTTCAGTCTGGTCGACTAAAATTATGACCCAAATGAAAACGGTTGATTATTTTAAGGCGGTTTCTGTGGCGTCTGGAGTGTGTCGCTGGAATATTTGACGCTGTCGCTTAAAAAAAAACCATTCAGCTGCTTCAGTTTATCCTCGTCTCAAAGAAAGTGCCTTTATTTACATGTGCGGCTGTGTTCTGATCATGTGATCACCATCCTGCTGTAGATCTGACGGCGCAGCTGAATATAAACTGAAAACAGTTCCTTCGGCTGCAGTAGTGACGAATTTAAATTAGAAATCACTTCACACACACAGACAACAGTTTCAGTCAAAAGGAGTCGGATGATGAATATTAAAGAGGTTAAGTTTGTAATTCTCGTTCAAATTGCAGGAAAATGTTTGTGACCTGCTCGTCTGCACGGCTTTACAATATTTAGCTGTTCACACAATCGGACAAATTAAATATGTTTTAAATTATTTTCTCATCCTTTTGTCTCAACTTACAGATCACTGAAAGTGTATTTTTTTACATAACTTGTAAAGTTATGAAAGTTTGACTCAACTTTAATCTAAATCCGATGCAAGCCTTTTTATTTTATGTTTTATGTTCACTATTCTTTTAACGCTCTGACCATTTTCGTGCACGCTGTGTTCCAATCCTCTGCGTTTCGTTTCTGGCGTCAAACGACGAACTAAAGGCTCGCAGCATAAAGTTTACGTGCTTCTAAAATTAGATTTTTGATTGGAAAGGTGGGTTTTATTTTTCCCAAAGAGCTGTAGTAAAAACTGAAAAGCCGTTTTTAATTCCAGCGGCACACTCGAGACTTCTGTTTTAAACTTTTAACTCACCTCAGACCTCAGTTTTACCGTATTTTCCAGCGTATAAGTCGCAAGTTGTTTGTTTTTTGCATAGATTTGTCAGTCCTGTAACTTATACATCGAAGCGGCTTGTATACGTGGTTTTTTTTCTCCCAGATTTACAATTTTTGACGGACGCGTTAAATTTCGAAGAACTGCAACAGCGAGTCCTCTCGTGCCCGCTCGCTTCACTCAGCTGGTGCAGGTGGAGGAACGCTGGAAAACTAGCCGCAATGGATGGATGGATGGATGTCGCTGCACCACCCAGGCAAAATGAAGCTGTTTGACCATTAAATAAACGCGACAGATCAGCAGTGATGCATAATAAATGCAATTTATATACGTTTTTTTCCTCTTCATGATGCTTTTTGACGGATGCAACTTATACTCTGGAAAATACGGTAATTTATCATTTTTACTGAAGTAATGAAAGCTTGGCGTGACGGTGAAACAGAAAACAGGGAGCCGTCGCAGTCAGCGTCTTTGTCTTTTTGTTTCTCCATTTATCATTTTGTCTGTTTTATCTGATCAAACAGAGACGTTCTCAGTTTTTGCAGTAAATAAAATAAAAAGTACACTGAAGAAGAACGTTGTTAAAATGAGAGCAATATGTAGAAACGGTCCTGATGCGTTGGGGATGTTATGAAAAGTTTATTGTATAGAGATTAATAAAAGTTTTTTTTTCATTAAAAGCTTCTGTGGTTTATTCAAAGGTTCGTGTTGAATCATAAAATAAAGTTTGATGTTGTGCAAGTGCATTCTGGGTAAAAAGAGAAAAACTTATTGCACTGATGTAGCGTCACATTTAATTTCGTCTCAGCTGTTTTTTGAGGAAGATGAGGTAATTACCAGATTGACATTGTTTTGGGATCATCGTTTTGTTTTGTAAAAGTTGTTTTAAACGATTAAATGAGAGATAAACCTGAATCAGTGAGCACACAGTTGCATAACACGAAGGAGTGGATTTTGGGGCTTAAGTCTGAACTCCAGATGACGGATTAATTCAAGATTATTTCAGCAACACGCAGAACGTTTGTGCTGCCACACAAACCATCAGACGACAAGTAACAGCAAGTTTGTTGCATGTTGTGTCCTGGTAAAGATCAAAACGTACCATTTGAATATATTTTTTTTAGAAAGCACCGTTTGTCATCAAAGCAGCCGGGCGTTGTTTCAACCGGATCTTCCCTCTGAAAGCAGAGATCTACTCAGATCCTCGACATTTATTTTGAAATGAAAACATCTTTGGACTGAATGTGTGTTTTGGTAGCAGATTGATTTGAGAACGTTGCCTTCTTCTCAGTAAGAGCATCATAAATTCAACAATTTCCCTGGAGAGACCCTTTTTATTGGGGTCCCATCTGTTGAGGAGTCATCTCATCATTGCATCATCCTGACCCCCCCCCCCCCCCTCTTTCCATTCTTCCCCACCTCAACACCCCCAAGTGCTAAAATATCCCAATATAGAGTCATCATGTCTGAGTCCGATGTTGCCGTCACCAGTGCTCCCTCCTGCCAGAGAAATGATAGATAAGTTGATCCGTTCTGACAGGTGAAGTGGGAGCCGCACCGCTGGATTTACATCTCATCACCCCGTCAACATGAATCATGTACCGGGCCTGCAGATGGCACCACCTTCCTTCAGGCGGCTGGGGGAAGCATGTGGGTGCTGATGTTCGTTTAAACAACCTGTTTAAATTATACAACTCAATGTTTTCAGTTGAAAATTGTCTCCACCAAGGCAAGAATGCAAAAATTAAATACATTTTTAAAAATCACTGATCTATGTGGGGTCAATAACGTTGATAATAACGAGTCAAAATAATCAATACAGGCTCAAATGGTAACGTAAATTTTTGCTGAGTGGTGCTAAAGGTCTCAGAAGGTCATTTAAGGTGACGAGGCCTTTAGCGTGTTATTGATGGCCTGTGGCACGTTGCTTCTCTTTGACCCGCACAGAAAAAAGTTGCTTTACAGGGAATTGATCAACACTTGTTCATACCCCGCCATGAACTGGAACCTGCTGGAACACCAGTGTCCCTGTCCTCAGTGAAGACGGCTTTACATCGCCATGGACTGACGGAACCAAGACAGAAGCTCCGCCTCCAGAAGCCACACCTTCGAGCAGGACGGAAACCAGCATGTGTCCGCTTGGACGAGACAAATGTCTTCTGGAGAAACGTTCGATGGTCAGATGAGACAGAGACTGAGCTGCACAGGAAAGATGAGTGAAGGAGTCGTGGTGAAACTTCCAGCGAAGAACACTGTTGGGCACGGTGGTGGTAGCAGCATGTTGCACAAAGTGGGTGAAATACTGAAGAAGGAAGGAAGTCAGCTTCCCCTCAAACCAACAGCTGGATGGTTGAAATAGCTGGGTCCAACGTGGCGACGATCCCAAATGCACATCAGAACCGGTTTCTGGTCGAATAAATCGGGTCAACATAAAGCTTCTATAACAGCCTTCCCAAATCCCAGACCTCATCCTGGTCTAGGACTGAAAGCCTGGTCTGTGAAGGAAGCCAACCACCTTCATGAACTCTTCCCATTCTTCCAAGAAGAATTGTTCAAACCACA